TATCTGTGTTGCTGTTGCTCAGTTGTGTGAATGGAGGGCCTAAGGAGACATTATGCCCAGTAACCATGCAGGCACCTACTGCCATTGCAGCAGTTCAATCTCAAATAAAGAGAAAGATGATGGCTGGCACAGTCATGTACTTAACTACAGTGGAGACTGAAAACCCAAGTTTTTGCTGTTCAGGTTTTCAAGCGTCAAGTTTCTTAATTGGCTGAAGTTAATTGGCAAGGGGAAGCTAATACTGCGTGTTGGGTAATTAATATAATGCAAATACATGAATTTAGGCTTCTCACCATCTCAGGAGAGAGAATTTTGTTCAATGGCAAGAATGTGATTTTTGGCCTCTTGCCCAATTAATTCATCATGTTTGCCATTACTCTCGCCACATCAAGGAGGGGAAAATCACACAGTGAAACAAAAAAAAGCAACAGAAATCTGCATCTCTGATAAATGGTAAGGTAGAAAATCTAGGAATTTATTATTACATATTCAATATAAAAATTGAAAAGAAAAGGGAGCAAGAAACGTTACAACTACTACAGAAAAATAGATAAAATTTCAGTTCAAAAGGAGGCCTAATCTTGGTTTGGCTATGATGCCCCATTCGCCAACATCCTTTTGTCATTATCCGCTGTCAAGGCTTACACATTAATAGGCACTTAACTGAAATATGAAAGAGGAACTTTTATGTGGAGTTGTGCTCGAGCAGAGTCAATCCTAAAGGATATCAAAGAAGAGAAAGCTGATGAAAAAATTTCTGAAACAATTTTTGGCTTTGTGTCCATTGTTGAGCACTAAATCAGTACCAGCTTTCCTGGAATGCAGAGGCTATAAATCAAGATAGTTAATTTAAACTACAAAATGAGCCCCTGTTCCTTAACAATGTTGCCTGAAAAACAAGTTAGAAAACAGCTTTCCAATTGTCCTAGATAGAACTACACAAACCATTGTATATTTCCTTACACTGCAATGATTAATTTAGAAGATGAATAGCATGTCTACATTTTTCATGTCTAGTTGCAATGGGAAATGTTACTGATGTGGAGACATTCTCCAAGTTGGAGTAAAGTGTATGATTAAGAGAATGTTCTACTCAATAGTTAGCATTGGCTGATGGCACTGGGTGCCGCAAATGGGAAGATCCTGTCCCAAAGTATGAATTCCAAACTTTGAGAAGCTCAAAATATTCACAGGAAAAAAACACACCATGGTTTTTGAACCTTTATGCCACATTATAAATGAAGCAACATGAAAAGGATTAATAAAGTTGTATCTAATTATCACAGGATAACAATGAAGTAAATGCAATGCTCTTATTAGCTTCCCCTGTGAAGGCCTAATCATGCTTCCAATTACAGCAAGTCGACAACAGCTGCTTGTTTTTATTATTTGTGCCTGAATGGCAAGACATAATGGACTGTATTACAGGGAATGTCACAGAATAAACACCGGATTTTCATTGCACTATTACCCAACTCTTTGAACTACCAGATTTAGGAGGTAAGTAAATTGCTGCATCTTTAAAATTTGTCAGGTTGCAGCCTCAATAAATTTTACAATAGGTGGGACAATCAATCAGTTTCCAAAGTATGTAGATGCTTCAGTTTAAATGAATATAGCTGCACTTAAATGCAAAGTGCAATGCTGAACTCTGAAATAGTTGTATGCAGTTATATAGCAATTGCCTTCAAAGCACCACCTTTATTTAAGCTGACATTAGGACGAAAGTCATAGAAATTATTTTGAACATTGGAGGAGATGTGGATAATCAGTTATGACCTGGAATGGCAGAAAAATTTCAAGGAGCTGAACGGTCTATTCCTCCTGAGATAATAAGTTGTAGAGCTGGATGAACACAGCAGGCCAAGCAGCATCAGAGGAGCAGGAAGGCTGGCGTTTCGGGCCTAGACCCTTCTCCAGAAATGGGGGAGGGGAAGGGGGTTCTGAAATAAATAGGGAGAGAGAGGGAGGCGGATAGAAGATGGATAGAGGAGAAGATAGGTGGAGAGGAGACAGACAGGTCAAAGAGGCAGGGATGGAGCCAGTAAAGGTGAGTGTAGGTGGGGAGGTAGGGAGGAGATAGGTCAGTCCAGGGAGGACGGACAGGTCAAGGGGGCGGGATGAGGTTAGTAGGTAGGAAATGGAGGGGGGGCGGTGGTTTGAGGTGGGAGGAGGGGATAGGTGGGAGGAAGGACAGGTTAGGAAAGCGGGGACGAGCTGGGCTGGTTTTGGGATGCGGTTGGTGGAGGGGAGATTTTGAAGCTTGTGAAGTCCACATTGATACCATTGGGCTGCAGGATTCCCAAGCGGAATATGAGTTGCTGTTCCTGCAACCTTCGGGTAGCAGCGTTGTGGCACTGCAGAAGGCTCAGGATGGACATGTCGTCTGCGGAATGGGAGGGGGGAGTTGAAATGGTTCGCGACTGGGAGGTGCAGTTGTTTAGTGCAAACCAAGCGTAGGTGTTCTGCAAGCAGTCCCCAAGCCTCCACTTGGTTTCCCCGATGTAGAGGAGGCCACAACGGGAACAGCGGATGCAGTATACCATATTAGCAGATGTGCAGGTGAACATCTGCTTGATGTGGAAAGTCTTCTTGGGGCCTGGGATGGGGATGGGGTGATGGGGGTGAGGGCGGAGGTGTAGGGGCAGGTGTAGCACTTCCTTCGGTTGCAGGGAAAAGTGCCGGG